TCCATCACCACCCGAAGAATGATCGGCTCGCTGGCCCCAAGATGATCCTCCAGCTTGTGTACCCCCATCTTGTGTTCCCCATGACCCACCACCCTTCTTTCCCCAAGAGGATCCACCATCCTCACCCCCACCAGAACTGTTGTGTATTTTACTGTCTTCCTTCTTGTTCCAGGAAGAGCCCACATCTTGGACCTTACTATCTTGTTGGGCAAGAGATGATCCTCCCCCACCCTTTGTTTCCCATGATGATTTATCTTCCTTCTTGTTCCAAGAAGATGCCCCATCCTGTTTGCCCCATTGGGTACCACCGTCCTGTGAATTTCCTGCACTGCTCCAGCCTCCACTTTCAATCCCTGGACCAGGTAAAGAGCTAGAAGGTTTGTTCCAAGAAGATCCCCCATCTTGTTTACCCCATTGGGTACCACCGTCCTGTGAATTTCCTGCTTTGCCCCAGCCTCCACTTTCAATCGCCGGACCAGGTAAAGAGCTAGAAGGCTTGTTCCAAGAAGATCCCACATCTTGTTTGCCACATTGGGATCCACCATCCTGTGCTGTTCCTGCACTGCCCCAGCCTCCACTTTCAATTGCTGGACCGGGTAAAGAGCTAGATGGCTTGTTCCAAGAAGATCCACCGTCTTGTTTACCCCATTGGGATCCACCATCCTGTGACTTTCCTGCATTGCCCCACCCTCCACTCTCACTCACTGGACCAGGTAAAGAGCTAGAAGATGCTCCCTTACTGCCCCAGGCATCATTGTTTGCAACGGCAGCGCCTTGAGAGCCCACAGGTTTTCCCCAACTAGGCCCATCATTTTCTTCACCCTTCCCTTTTTTACCCCATCCTTCGCTTTGCCCTTCATTGCTTGCTGCAGCTTTAGTCCAAGTGCTTGATTCAATTTGATTCCAGCTCCCACTGGACTCTTTCCCAACAGTGGCTCCAGGAGCACCCCAGTTGGAAGCATCGTTCTTGATTGTGTTATCCTCGCATGCCTCAGAAGTTTTACCCCAACTGTCAGAACCAGAGGTACCAGCTACTCCAGTTGAGGCACCTTTTTTCCAACTATCACTTCCTCCCCAACCACTACTTTGCCCGGCATCAGCAACATTTTTACTTTGAGATGTCCCGGTTTCCCAGGCAGAACTCCCAGCATCTTGTACACCAAATCACAGAAAAGCATTTTTAATAAGAAGATTATATATATTTACAAAAAAAGGAGATTATATTACAAATGCAGAGAATGGGAACTTTAAAACAAAAGATGGTAATGACACGATCAAATAGCTTGTCCTAACTAATATTGATCTGTTCTGGATGTTGCTGAAAGAGTGTAGCGCATAAAATAGAGATAAATTTATGATCAACACTTCATAATCAAACAAGTCTACATTCTACAAATATGAATATTACTCGACTGGGCTTTAGCTCAACATCCCCCTGGACAATTATTTCATAGCTTGTCTAGTTTGTTAGCCTATCAAAACAGTTGACATATTTATCATACCTTTATTAAAATCAACTGCAGTGAGAGAACTAGTATTCTGATTTTGTTGAGTCTGTAAAATGTAGACAATTTATTACAGTATACTCATAGAAAACATAGATAAAAAAAGATAACTAATAAATTAAGATAGAAGATGAGGGTATTTATATTGTAACTGTATACATACAGGTATGCTCGAAGAAGAAAAAGAAGGCCAAGAGCTCCTGTAAAAATGTAGCACAAATTTTAACTTTATGAAGAACTGAACACAACAAACAAGTATTCACAAGAGGACATAAAATAGAAATACATGTGAAGCAGCGAAAGGATACATAGTTATGCTAAACAAAATTAATCACATAACACTGTCAAAATATGAAAGGAATAGAGAACTCCAACTCGAGTTACTATATGTAATCCAGCAGAATTACAATATCCACCAACATATATGTAATCCAGCAGAATTACAATATCCACCAACATTGTCAATCTTTAGCACTTTTACATTAAGAATTGAAGAAAATCGATTAGATTATAGATCCATCATCCCTGGTCTAACATTATTTCAGAATGTGGTTCAGTTTTATATTTATGCTCTTTTCTCAAAAGAGTACCACCAGCAGAGGGGGCCTACTGCATGAAAACAAGTGAATTTTTTTATGATGACAAGTAAATAAATTATTGTTCGAGAACAACTTCTTAACACCAAAAGCAAATGATATGCATTTATATGGGTGTGGTAATAAATGTTTACGCTGCACCGAGAAATTTCTGCAGAGCAGTCAAATAAAAATGTTAAAAGTACAAAACATTGAAGTTATCAAGTAGACCAAGAAAATATTTCACAAAGACCAACCTTTCACTAGATGACAATCCTGCATTCCAACTATCATCTTGTGCAGCTTGTACACCTCCATCAGTCCACTCTTCAAAATAAAAGAGTCAATTAATACAAGATTGACTAACATTTTAGTTTTGGCCACAAGATGGAGTAATGGGACTAAATAAAAATGACACATTAAACTTCCCTTGCTACTTACTCCGTACTTTCTAAGAAGTTTTAGGCCATAAATGCAGCAATGCATCTAGGGTATAAGAGAAATAGACACTCAGTTGTTATAAGGGTAAGACTGTGTACATCTTGACTCCTAGGCCCCAACCGAGTTGGGATTATTCTGAGTTGTTGCAATTAATACAAGATAGAGAAAATGTAATCTACTGGAAAATATGTTGATGAAAGAGGAAAACCCACGTGCATGACATGCAGTTTAAACTGTGGATGAGACAATAAAGAAGTGGCTATGCAAATGTTTAGAAGATGGTGTGAACAGGCTTGCATGCAAAAATGCTAGATACAGTACAGGAAAAGATGTTGATGAAGAAGATTATGTTAAAACATAGTGTAGAAGGCTTCTATATTACTGTTAGACCACATTAAGCAGTAATCTAAACAAATATAAACATCAACAAAGCTAACCTCACTCACCACAACACGTGCTCCAATGAAAGGGAAACAAAAAAATAAATGGGGTTATGAACTTAAAAAGCTACATTCAGCAGGTAAATAACATATTTGAGCTTAGTTGAGCAGAAACACAAGTCATTTGTACCTCTTGCACCATCTTGTGCTCCAAACAGATCAAATGGTTTTGCAGCCTCTGGATCAGCACTACTGCAAGTAGTACGTAATTAACATTAACATAGTTCTAAAAAAATAACAATCCATAACAAAATAAGTCAACAACTGCTTGTAAAGGTAGATGTAACAATACCCCAAAGAAATGCCAGACTTTCCGTGAACCTGAGACAGATGCTCGCTTTTAACTACAAATACACAGAAAAGCGTGAGTAACTAACATCCAAGGCAAAGCACTGAAGGTAAATAACAGTAAGCCACTACACCTGTGAGAATCTGCTGCCGAGAATCAAGTTTCACAGTGACATCAGTTTTGCGTACAGCCAAGACACGGCAGGTGTATCCCTTCAACGGACCTACCCGTATTCTCACTGATTGACCAATAGAGAACAATACATCGTTATCCTCACGATGAACTGCACGATTACATCACATATACAAATCAGTTTCTCAATCTAACCAATCAAACTGAAAAGTAGTATAATCTTTGAGAACATACAATTGTTGTTACCCTCCCTCTCCCGGAAAGGTTTCTTAGGAGACAAAGGGGTATTTGGAGATGGTGGGGAATCACCAAAACATGACGATGGTCCAGCCTCATTTCCCTAGTAATGTAGGAAAAAAACAGAGTGACACTCATTCAGTAATCAAAAAGGTACCACTATTGCATATTTAAAAAAACAAGGAGAGCAAACAAACCTTTCCATTCAATAGAGCATCATTGCAGGAAACTTTTTCACAGATCTGAGCTTTAACACAGATATAGCGATTATGTTCCTCGCCCAGCTCATCATACAGAAAGATGACTCCTTTATAGATTTGTTTAACAGTTCCTTGTCTATCCTGCAAAAGGTTAACAAATAACAAAACCATTAGATTCAAAATGGCAATGCAAACACAAAGGAAGAAGTGAACCTCGTATTTTTTTGACAAAAGATGTAAACCTTTGATGGACCATCCAAAACCCGTACAACGTTATTTATAGTGATTGTATTTTTATGCTGATCTTTTACAGTAAACAGTTTTCTGTCAAAGCATGCAGCTCTTAGCTCACGAAGTGGAAGTGTTACTAGTATTGACCCTTCTGAACCATCTTTCATGATCTGAAACAAAAGCATATTGATGAGATGAGAAACCACTGCCCCGTGTGAGAGTAGAAGAGAAACATAGAAGGGAGCACAAAAGGTGTAATATACAGTACTTTATAGACATTCTCCTTCTCCGTGCCAACAATGATGCCAAAATCTTTACGGCTGCAGTGACAAGGAAGAATACACACACAGGATGATATCAATTAAGCAAGTCACAAAATCCCTGGAAACAAATATAGAAGCAGACACCTACCCAAAAAAAACTAGGTCATCTACTTCAAAATTGTTGTTGCTAGAGCTAGATGAACCCTCTGCTTTCTCGCCACCTTTCCCAGTCCCTTTGTCATTCTTAATTGTTTGTTTTTTCTTTTGTTCACCATATAGCTGGGAAAGCCACTCGGTATCAAGAGGTTCATCTTTCTTAGGAGGCTCAAACTTCAAGAGCTCAGTTTCAGTAGGCATTACACCCCAAAGGCACAAAGAGTCAACAGACATCTTCTTGTATAAGTAGCCTTCTTTGAGCATCATTCCATCAAGAACTTCATACATTTGGTTTGTTTCACGGTCTTTGCGGTATGTGATTAGAGGACGGAAATCCCTGCAGTTTAACAAGGGAAGAGGCTTCTTTTACAATTGGCCCATAGAGTCAAAGGAATAATAAATAAATTAACTGCAAAATATTACTCTAGTTCAGTAGAGCTGATAAATCTAGCTGTTGGAATGGAAGCCTTCTTGGAAGCAACTCCTCCCCCCTGTAAATATGTATTAAAGAGAAAAATGTGTATCTGATAAGATTCAACCACGTAATTTAAATGCAGGTCCAAATATTGTAATAGATCCACTTTAAATAATGGTCCTTTCAACCTATAGATGTTGCATATTCTTATGGCATTCAATGATTGAATACCCCTAGAGCTCCAGCACTTATCTACTGATAAAAAAGATAGATAGTATTCAAGCAATAAAATTTCATTAAACGGGTTCTTAATATCTCTTGGCATACAGCAACTTAGCTACATTGAATATTTCTGAAGCATTTCAAAATGACAGAAGACATTTATATTTATGAATTATGAGTGGAGAAAAAGGTATTACATATTTCTCAGCAAGTGCTTGCAAATCTATTCTCGGAATCAACTTCACAGTGACTTTTCTCTGTATATCATTCACCGCCACAACCTAAATGATCATAACTGAGCTAATTAGCATGCTTGTAACAGAGGAGCATGTCTGCTATATAAATTATAAATGTAATAAAGAAACAGACACGCACATCTATAAAGAATATAGGGTAATGACAATGAAATCAAGCAACATTCAGACAGTGTGAGACATAGTTCAAGTACCTGTGCTAAATCCCCTTTGTACTTTCCACTCTTGACACGAGCCCACGTGCCCTCTGAAATTCCATTGCACTTGTTCCGTACTGATATCAGTTGAGAGATTTCATTTTTTGGAACGGGAGCCATCCGACTGCAATATATACTGCAAAGCCCCTTACAAGTCTGAACAAAAACAGATTCATTGGTAACAAAATAAAGCTGGCATGGAACACTTGGGCAAAACAATCTGCACCTCATTCGCCAATAATCATAAACATAAAACTGCAAAGCATAGAGATATAGAATAGGATATGTGCCTCAATAACATCGCGCTGTTTGTCTGCTTCAATATAAACAAAGCCCTTCACGTGATCAAGAGCAAAAGCGGAGATTATCTGAAGCTTTGTTCCCAGAGCTTTCAAGTCCACATATTTCTGCATGAGGCAGAAAGCCGAATGCCTTTCACGTCCAATCTATATTTCACAATAAAAAATTGCATCAACAAAGCACAAGAAAATGAGAAGTTAGAGGGAGTAATGTGTGAAAAGTTGAAAATGCTGCGAGAAAAATAAGTAGCAAAGTTGTTTGTATTTCAAAAATATTATCATGAAGAGGTATACCATGCATTTCACTTTCCATAGAGTAGGGTCCCTGGAGGAGGGTGCGGATACCTCCTCTTCAATAAATCCTTTTCTTTCATATCCATCTTCTGCAAATCTAACAAAACCAGAACCAGGTTTGTAACGCTCTCTCAACATTTTTTCTAACTCCTCTTCATCCATCTCTTCTTCCTTAGGCACAAGAGGGAACCCAGTGTGTTTGGCTTGTTCATCCGGGACTTCAGTAACAAAGTCTTCTTGAAAAAAGTCTACATCAAGGAATGATGAATAAATATCATTAGTGTCCATGCATGCAGCGGCATGCACCCCAACCAAGTTTATCGTTTTGTTCAGGACATGAACGTCCAAAATACTCCGTAACTTTAAGGCATTTCAGATGCTCCAGAACAGGCTCATCCCATTTAATTAAAGAGGTACAGAGTATAAAGGAAAATAATAAAACAAAAGTGAAATGTCAATGACTGTAAATTTTGAATCCTAACCCAAGCATATATAACAGGAAACAGGAAAATCATAGTTCAACATAAGCAAAGATGACTCAAGAAAATAATGTAGATAACAATATTACTCAGGCTTCCTACTTTAACTCAAGAAATAAAAAGAAAGCTTCAAAATTTAAAAAACAAAATCATTTGAAAAGTTGTTCAAACAAGCTTTTATGAGCCAGAAGAAAACCAAACTTACACAGAAGAACTATAGATATGCTAGGTATACCTAACAAAATCTCAATGCACAAAGATCTGCCAAAATTCGCAGAAAATAAAGAGAAACGCTGGCTGAAACCCTAAATTTTCGTCATACCCAAAAACGAAAATGCGGATGTGAAAACAGAAATAAAATAAGGACAACACAGTGATATACCATCATCGGAGAAATCAAATTCATCACTGAAGTCGTCGTCGTCTTCTCCGACCTGGTAAGCCTGGTCCTCGAAGAACTGTATTCCGGCCTTCCTCCTTTTCCCGATCTTGTCCTCATCGTATCCCTTGTCGAGATCAATCTTCCGCTTCCCCGCCGAGCCCTTGCCGCCGCCGGCGACTTTCTCCTTGCCTTTATCTGAGACCATTTGTCTGCCAACAAAAATGAGGCGATTGCAGAGAGAGTGAAGTGTGGTGGAGTCGAATATAGGGGGGCCTTGGGCGCGAGGCACCTGGCAGGCTATCACGCTTGGAAACACCACCTCCCCTTTTATTACACAAATGCCCTTAGAGTTGACTCAAATAACCATTCTTGTGGGTTGTAGGGATGAGTACTGGGTCGGTTCGATCGATTTCGGCCCAAAATCAAACTAACCGAAATAATATGTGATTTAAAATAAGCTACCGAACTGAATCAACATTGGGCCAAAATCGAACAAACCGAAATAAAAAATAGTTGAACCAAAATCGGCAATAACCGAATCGACCTTGGATTCTGATTTAATAATGAAATACTAATAAAAATTAAAATTCCATTCAAAAATATTAAAATATAAAACTATAATTGCAAAAATGCAAAAAGGCATATTTAATACACTAATTGTTAAAAATTTACAGATTTGATTAGTAAAAAAATAAGGATTTACTAAATACAAATTTTATAAGTAAAAAAATTATTTAACACTTCATTTTGTGGATTAATTAATAAAAGAAGCAGAACTAAGGAATAATTGAAAAAAAAGAGAAATAAAGGGATGAACCAATAATGGGTGTCTTGGAAATGGAAAGACTAAAGGATTAAGGTTGCGTTCTGTTCCCCTGATCGATCTGATCTGATTTTTTGAAATTCTGATCTGATCTGGTATGATCTGGTCTGATTAGATCTGACATGAATTTGATTGAAATTGAAATTTTTATGATAATAGTTATAATAATAGTTATAATAATAATATAAATATTAATAATAATAGTACTAATAATAATAATACTAATAGTAATAATAATATTAATAAATATAATAATAATAATAACTATAATAATAATACTAACAATAATAAAAATAACAGAAATAATAATAATAATAGAAATATTATTATTAATAATAGTAATAGTAATAATAATATTAGTAACAATGATAATAATAATAATTATTATTATAATTATAATAATAATTGTAATCCTAATAATAATAGTAATAGTGATAATAATAATAGAAATAATCATAATAATAGAAATAGTAATAGTAGTAATAATAATAGTAATAGTAATAATAGTAATAGTAATAATGGTAATAGTAATCATAATTATAGTAACAATAATAATATTATTAATATTAATATTAATAATAGCAATAGAAATAATAATTATAATCATAATATTAATAGTAATACTAATACTAATAATAGTGGTAATAATAGTAACAGTAACAATAATAATAATAATAATAATAATAATAATAATAATAATACAACAACCTGGGTGATTCCCACTATAGTAGGGTCTGGGAAGAGTGTGTGTACGCAGACCTTGACCCTACTCGGAAGTAGGTAGGCTGTTTCCAAGAGACCCCCGGCTCAACCTGCACAAAAAATATGGTAGGGAACACAGTATAACACAGATAAAGCACCAAGTACAATGCAATGAAAGTCCTGCAAGCAATAGCAAAAAATTCCAACCAAACACAACACACTACAAAAAACCTCTACAGCACCGGGCTCCTATCCAGCTACTCTAATCCTAGTTCTCCAAAGGTTCCTATCTAACGTTATATCCTCAGTCAGGGTGAAAGTCCTAAATCCTACCTAATCACCTCCTTCCAATTCTTCCTAGGTCTACCCCTTCCCCTACTTCCCCCGATAACCGTAATCCTCTCGCATCTCCGTACAGGGGCGTCAGCATTCTGCCGTCTCAAATGACCAAACCATCTCAACCTCGCTTCCCGCAACTTATCTTCCACCGGCGCCATGCCTACCTGACGTCGGATAATATTATTATAATAAAAATATTATTATTAATTTTGTTAAGATCTAGTCGGATCTGATCTGGTCTGATCTGATTTGATGTAATCTGATTGAATTGATCTGATCTGATTGGATCTGAATTAATCTGATTAGATCTAATTTGATTTAGTCTCATCTGATTTTAATAAGAATAAGTAATAAACAGAAAAAATAAGTTGAATGGAATGCTGCCTTAAAGGATACAATTGAACTCAATTCACTTATTTGGACTTTAAAATGGGTCATATTAATTTGATAAACATTAGGGTGAATATGGATATAGGTTATTTGGTTAATCGAATAAACCGAGAATTTGAGATTGGGTAACCGAAATCGAAAAAATAGTTATTTTGGTTTTTGATTTTGTGGTCAGTCCGGTTATTTTGCTCACCCCTAGTGGGTTGCTCCACAATACACATTGCGTCGTGCTTCTCGTGGAAACGAGTCGATTTCAAAGCTTTTTTCCTCACTTCGATCCCAATTATTTTTATCTGATTTGAATAAGTTTTAATCTGATATGAATGTTGTTATATTTAAAGTTATTTTTTATTTGAATTTAACTGATTCCAATTAAAATAAATTGAAGGGAAGAGACTCCTAATAATGATATTGGTAAGAGTTTTTTACTCATTAATTTTTGAAACAAATAATTTATACAGCGCATAACATAAAAAAATCTCAGAAAAATAAGAAACTAATGATATTTGTAATGATATTCTAAAAAAAACTTTTTATATTACATACTAGGATTTTTATGAACTGGATCATTGGAAGTATACGTATTCAATAAAACTAATACTCAGGGTATTTCTCAATTTAGTCTTTTTTAAAGAAAATATGAAACAGTCGATGGATGGGTCAGGTGACGGGAGAGAAAAATTTCTACCCGCATCGAACTTGGTCTATCATAGATTCATCTATCATGTGTGTATCATGTTTTCCTTTTGAATTTTCATCCACTAGGTCAGATCAAGTGATTTGGTTATCCAATCAATCAAGTAGAAATTATCATCACTAGATGCTCGAGGCTTAATAGCCGAACAAATATGTTAATCGAGCCTTAATTAGTACTCTTGAGGAAAATTTGATATTAATAATCCGAAGTATATGTTGTCTACTTAAAATAATCTCAAGAATTGATTAACTGGCATCAATCAAAGTTTATCATTAGATATCCTTAATCAGCTTCACCGCTGAGCGAGTGGTATGTTTTATTTGCTACACGTAGGTAAACAAAAAGAATGATGTGACGTGACCTTGGGGGCGAGATTGTTGGGATGTATGTGACGGTTTTGAACTGTTATTTCAAAAGACATGAATGAATTATATTTTGTGATTGCAATTTGTTAAGCTTCCACAACATTGAAAACTTCATACTATTCTTTTATGAATATTATTTTGTGATGAATAAAAGTGTTTTAAATATTTTAAATTTTACTATTACCAAGTTTATACTTTAGTCCGAAAGGGCTACAGATATGGATAGATTAGAGTGTTACATACCCCGAGGTGCAAGAGGTGTTAAGTTTGTAGCAGTTGCAATCAATTACTTTACCAAGTGGGTCGAGCCAATCTGATGGTGAATATAATGGAATAGTAGATGATTATGTTCATAGGTTAGCACATCCTATGCAGATTTGGAGTCCCTCGCCACATCATAATGAATAACAGACGATAATTTATGGGACCTTGCTTCACGGGATTCTTGGAAAGTTGGAGATCAGTCACGCTAAAGTTTTGGTTTCCTATCCCATATAAACGATCTTAAAAATGCCAATTGGACCATAGTTGCTAAAATCAAGAAAAAGTTGTTGAATTTTAGAGGACAGTGGGTATATGAGTTACCTCAAATCTTTTGGGCCTAAAGAATAACTTCCCAAAGGGCAACAGATGATACACCTTTCGAATTGGCATATGAGTTTGAGGCGTGCACTCCAATTAACCAAAAATGTTGGACTTGGTTCCAACTTGGAAGGAATAAAATTATGATCCAGATTAAAATGATATGGACCAAGCAGTCGAAATGCACTTTTGAGAAGAGAGAATGGAAGAGGGTACATGCCATGGAAAGTTAAAGAATACTTTGATGCGCGAGTCAAGTCCTGAGTTTCCAACTTGGTGATTACGTCCAAAGAAGGCGAGAGGACAGCCAGCCTTTGCATGACGAATAATTCGCTATGTCTTATGAGGGGCCTTCTTTAGTCAAAGCAATGGTGTGCCCCGAAACTTACCAGTTGATGACCCTTAGGACAAGAGAGCTAGACGGAACTTAGAATGTGGAACACTTAGTTAAATTTTATCAATATTCCATTTTAATACTGTGATGTTCCACTATTTAATAAAATTCCAAGTTCTGTTCTACTTTCTTTTTCCATGATATGATTTCATAAATGCACGAGGTTAGATAAGCTTATGCCCAATTAAAAAATAGAGAGAAGCGTAAGGGTAGATTGAAAGATGCCCTACAAAAAGATAAGCAAGTTAGAAAAGCTAATGTCTTGCAAGCACGGGAATTATAAGGTTAGAGATGAAAGGTGAGTTAGACTTCGAGGGCTGAACCTTAGGAGTCCAAAAATCTAACAAGGTGGAACGATTCTAGACTAAGAGGGCCAGGTCGATGTTCCAAATGTGAAATAAAGCCGAAGGAACCAATGAAGGAAAAACGGATGCCTAGACTATAAAGCTGAAGGAACCATCTTTGTTCATCTATTTTGAATCTAGCCAAGGGCTAGATATCATTGTGGTGCTATTGTATTGTGCATTTGTTCTCATTCACGTTGTGGTTGGTGGAGTTGGTTAGACTAAAACGTGGAGTTGGTTAGACTAAAACGTCTTGTGGTTTTTTACCCATTCACGTTGAAAGAGTTTTCCATGCACATTAAAATATTTTGGCCATGTTTGGAAAACGGCTTTTCGGATAGCTTTTGGCATATTTGACTGACTTTTACTTTTTTGACTTAGCGACCCGCCAAAACCACCGTTTGGCTAATGACTTTTTCACTTGGCATTTTGATCCGAAAAGCCAAAATCTGAAATGCCAAAGAGAGTAGCATTTGAACTTGGCTGTTAGAAATTGTTTTTTTTTAAAATCATTTTTCATGAAAGATATTTTATAATACGGAGTATGTGTAAAAAAATAAAAATAGAAATAAAAGTTAAAAAAATTAAATGCTAAAAAAAATCAAATTAAAAATTTCAAAAGAAATGAAATGAGAAAATAAAAAGTAAAATCATTAAAAAGTTGTATATTAATAATTTCTTATCAATTAAATGAAAGTAA